AAAAAAAAACTGTTGCTGTTAGAAAGCTTTAATTAATTTTTTAACAAAGAAGAAGAAGAAGAAGGAGAAGAAGTGGAGAAAAAAGAAAAAAAAGAGTGCGTCAGGTGACTTTATTTTAAAAATTAGTTAAATACTTTTAGACGATAAAACTGTTTCAGAAAAATAAAAAAAAAAAAAAAGATCCATTTTTTTATTCGACTACTAAATCAATACCGATGTATATCAATTGTTGGTTGCTATATATCTGTAAAAGTTTTAATTCTACTAAATTTACATTTTTTTTTATCAATATTAATATGTTGGTTTTGTTTGCATGTTATAATTCTTATTCACAACATAAACAGTTACTTTTGTTCAACTTGATAAAGATTTGTTCTTAAAAAATTTCCAGTAGTTTTTTCTTTTTTTCTCTTTTAATACAAAACAACGTTTCACCATCTTCTATCTGTATTTTAAACAACACTTACTGCTTATCGCTTTATTACTGTAGTTTTTGAAGGTAACTGCTAATTGTAATAGACAGCAGTAATGTGTTTAAGAAGTTTTGAAATTGTCACTTGTTTGACAGCTGAAATTATTTCAAATTTCCTAAGTCAACATAACCAATACTTTTCTTCCTTATCAAGTTTTTTTTTTTCAACATCTTTCTTTTCACATTCAAATTTTGTCGTTATCATTTCTCGACTTCTTTTCAGTATACTTTTCTGTTCTGCTTATCTTTTACTATTTCTGTTTCTTTCATTTGACATGTCATAGCTACGTATAAGTTTAGCTAAATCCTTTCTTTTGCCATCAGTTTTGGGTGGTTTTTGGCAATAGAGGATCGAATACCAATATACCCACTGTACAGTGATAAATTTACTACTTTAAATTATTTTTTTTTTATCTTGTAAAAAGATTTTCTAAGCTAAAATGTTGCCTGAACAAATCTGAATTAATGATACATAGAAAGATGTCATTAACAAAAAACAATAATTTGCAAAAAAAAAAAAAATACCAGTATAGTTGGTTGGTTTTTAACTTCGTTTGAAATTCTTCAAGTATTTTCGGCAATTTATATCTGTCTTAAAAAATGAATTTGTAATAAATTAAAGCTTTTGTCTGTCTCTATATATGTATTTATTTATCTGTATATTATTATTATAAGACTTGATAAAACTTCTATCTCAATTTTCTATTATTTTTGCCGGAAGATTTGCTAATTTTGTTTAAAGCAAAGTGATATTTACAGGGATTAGCGTCGGATATTATGATATCAGTGGTGCTATGCAGCACAATGGGTACACTTTTTGTAATGTTGACGACGGTGTGTGAAAG